TATATATATATATATATATATATATATATATGTATATATATATATTGATATATGTATATATATATATATATATATATGTATACATACATACATCATAATGGTGGGGTCTTCCTCGTCTAATTCCTGGATTCTTTTGCACCTTCCAGCTGACTTTGGTGTCTCTGCCAAAAACACCAAAACTCTGCAGAGAAGGGACTCTTTCATCGGAACCCCGTACTGGTGAGAGGAAAAGTTTTTACATTATATTTTATGCAAAACCAGAAAACTCACGTCTCCGTCGGCTCCACCAGGATGGCTCCAGAGGTGGTGATGTGCGAGACGTCCAAGGACCGTCCCTACGACTACAAGGCTGATATCTGGTCCCTCGGGGTCACCCTCATCGAGCTGGCCCAGATTGAGCCCCCCAACCATGAGATGAACCCCATGAGGGTCCTGCTAAAAATAGCCAAGTCTGACCCCCCGACCCTGATGCAGCCATCACGCTGGTGAGTCGTTGGTTTGAGGTTCTGATGATTGCAGCAGCTTCAGGAAGGTCCCCCCCCCACCCCCCCCACCCCTTTCAGTTTCTACACTTATGTTGCTGCCTGACGCTGCAGGGGGGCTCAAGGTGTGGAAACGTTCTAAAACATCTGAATATTTCTGTAAATGTGATCTATTTTCTTAAGAGTAGATTTATTAAAAAAATTAAAATGGCACCATAAAACAGCTGAATGGGTCAGAACACTTTGTGAAGCTGTTTTCAGTTGAGCCGGTTCTGAAGACCTCGTCCTGGACTTGTTTTGTGACTGTTTCATTTTAGGTCTCCAGAGTTTAAGGATTTTCTGAAGCGGTGTCTGGACAAGAACGTGGACAACAGATGGACCGCAGCTCAGCTCCTTCAGGTACCTTTCCTCCAACACACCTGGCCTCTCGGGTCACATGACCCTCCCCCTCCCATACCCACACACCACCTGCTGCCCCGAGGCGCCATCTGCTACCTTCTGTCAGGCGGAGGAGCGTCTGACCCGACAGGACCGAGCCCACGTCAGCTGAGCTGGCCGTTCTTTTTCCGTCCGGTTTAAGGCGCTCAGTGGCGTCAAAGCCACTTACTGACGGCGCAGAGAGGCAGCGAGGACACGCTGAGACCGACAGGGACCCGCCGACGGAGTCCCCATGGGTTTAAAAATACAGAAGAGTGGTCTGCCTCCTCTGAAGGTTTTATTATCCAAGAAGCTCCACATCATCCGGCCGGCCGTCGAATACTTGCAGCAGATTTCCAAACCCAAGAAGGTGAGGCTGTCGACGCAGTCTGTTGTTACAAATGTTTAGCTGCTGAGACACGATCGAGGCAGAGCAGCTTCAGATATTCAGCCGAAGTTTTAAAACGTGTTTCAAGTTTCAGTTTGTACCTCGGAGTGTCGATGCTTCAGGTCCCATGATCCTGGAACACAACAAACACTAAACATCGGGCGTCGTGTGCGCCTGTGTGTTAGCAAAATATCTCCTGAACCACTGAAGGGATGTTAATGAAACTTTTCGTGCACGGCTTGGGCTGATTTTATTTTGGAGTCAACCCAGTTTAAGACGGGTGACACAACCGGGTGGTCATTTTGACAGATGTTGAGCTCAGGTTACGTGTGGTAGTAGCTGAGTGTTCCTCAACTCTTCCTCTGAGCGTGAGATCACCACCAGGAACTGGCACGTCCAGGGACCCGCCCTCACTGGCCACCTAGCTTATGTAGCACCAGACCTCGATGGTCCTCCTTTCAGGTGGTGGATCCACTTGGAGGGGGATCCTGTCTCTTTTGGGCTTGTCCCTGGGCAGAGCCCCAGGAACCAAGGCTTGACCACCAGGTGCTCACAGACGAGCTCCTCTGTTCATGGGGGGGGGGGGGAATTGCTGCTCCTCTGCGTTGAAGGGAGTCAGCTGAGGAGCTCGTCTGATCTGGGCACCTCCTTTTGGAGACTTTCATGGTATGTCCCACTGGAAGGAGACCCGGGGGCAGCCTTGGGGGACCCTCAGGTGGAGCTGGGGAGTATTATCGAGGAGAGGGAGGTGTGGGTTTCTCTCCTGGACCTGCTGGACCTGCTGCCTCTGCGACCCTGCTGTGGATTAGATGTTGAAGATGGAGATGTTTGAGATCACACAAGTTTTTTATTTTTAGATTTGACCAAAACGACCACAGCTGTTTCCCTTCTCATCGTAGGATCTTCTTCTTCTTCCAGCTTTTCCCTCTTCAGGGGTCTCCACAGCGAGTCGTCGTCCTCTGTCCTCACTCCAACTCCCTCCATGTCCTCTCTGACTGCTTCCATAATTCTCCTCGTGTTCTTCATCATAAAATAATCTGAGTTTAAAACCTTGGCCTGAACGGAGGCGGGCGATGTTAATTCTGACTGTGGTGTTTTTCTTCCGGCGGCGCAGCATTCGTTTGTGACGACTGTGACCGACAGCAGGCCTCTGAGGGAGCTGATCGCCGAGGCCAAGGCCGAGGTCACCGAGGAGATCGAAGAGCACAAAGAGGAGGAGGAGGAGGAGGAGACAGAGGCACATCTGGTGAGTCCAAACCAACAAAACAAAAAGGTCTGCGCTGACGAACATTTTGTGTTTGTGTGAAAAATATAAGAATAAAATATAAAAATAAAGGAACGATTCAAACTTTTCTGCTCAGAATGAAGAACAGAGCAAGAGAAGCTCAGATCCTACAAGTGTGAAGTTCTTATTTTACAGGCAGATAACAGTTTGGCTGCAGGTGGATCAGAACCCTGCAGAAAACTGGACCAGCTTCTGAGTCCAGGAGGACCGTGGACTTCTAACAGAATCGGCCAAAACTAAAGAACTGTTGTGTTCCTCTTTCCTTCAGGGCCACAAGCGAGCCCCGTCAGACGTCAGCGTCGCCAGCTCCGAGGATGAGAAGATCCCCCTCTCCCCCTCCAGCCTGGAGGTCGTTCCTGAGAAGCTGGAACCGATCCGGCTCGCGACCACCCCCACCGAGCTTCCTGTGGCCAACCACGTGGCGGACACCAGTTCTGAGTCAGAGCCTGCTGCAGACGAGGCTCTGAACACTCCGATTAACGACGAAGAGGCTGAAATCAAACCACCGGAGGCGGAGGTTGCCTCACCAGAGCCCGAGACTCCGTCCAAAGAGCTGCAGCAGCTGGAGTTAAACGCCGAGGATGAAAAGGAGGTGGACACAGCTGAGGTCTCTGAGCCTCCTCAGGAGGACAACACGCCCGTCACAGAGGAGCCGAACACTCCACCGGAAGACGGAGAGCCGTACCAACACCTGAAAGTGACTCTGACTCTACCAGAGGACGATAAAGCTGCCCTGCAGGAGGAGACGGAGGAGAAACCTGCAGAAAAAGACAGAACGAACGTCGACGAGGAAAAGAAAACGAGACACGAGAAGGACAGAGATTCAGACTCAGGAAGCTGCTCCACTGCAGATAACAGCAGTGTGGACCTGAACCTGTCCATCTCCAGCTTTATGTCCAAAACTAAAGAGCCTGGATCCGTCTCCGTCCAGGTGAGTCAGGAAGTCCTCCCCGTCTCAGAGCAGAACCCAAAACCCAGTTTCTTCTGTAACGTGTTGTCGTTGCCTCAGGAAATGAAACGTCAGAAGAAAACGTTGAAAAAGACGCGTAAATTCATGGTGGACGGCGTGGAGGTTAGCGTCACGACGTCCAAGATCATCACGGACAACGACGCCAAGAACGAGGAGATGAGGTTCCTCAGGTGGGCGACATGTTTCACTCAAACATCAGCTGAAGTTTTAGTCACGTGTTTTAAAGTTTTCTGTGTGAGGAGGACTCAGCCGAAGGTCCTCAGGAGGAAACCACACGAAGAGGACCCACAGCTAAACGACAGCTAAAAGATAAAGCTACATTTACCAAAAAGGACACTCAAAGTAGCAAAAGGTTTGCTAATTGTTGCAAGAGACTAGCTAAAAGGTAAAGGTAGTAACAAGGATTTGGCTAAAACAAGCAAATTACTAGCTAAAAGTAGCAAAAGGATAGATAAGAATCAGCTTCTTTTTAACGAGTACAAAAAAAATGAAGCGTTCCCTGACGAAAGATATGAAAAGGAAAAAAACTATTTACAATAAAATGTTTCTAAATCAAAGCTAAAAGTAGCAAAACACTAGCTAAAATGTTAAAGCAGCATGCTAAAAGATGGATTAAAAAGTTCCAGATTCAGCTAAAACAAGCTAAGTGTTAGTTAAAAGCAGCTAAAGGTTAGATAAAAGCTAAAAGTAACAGAAGGAAAGCTAAGACTAACAAAACCTTAACTAAAAGGTTAAAGCAGCATGCTAAAATATGGAAAAAAAATTGTTCCAGTTTAAGTTAAAACAAGCTAATTGTTAGCTAAAAGCAGCTAAAGGTTAGATAAAAGCTAAAAGTAACAGAAGGAAAGCTAAGACTAACAAAACAGTAGCTAAAAGGTTAAAGCAGCATGCTAAAATATGGGGAAAAAAAATAGTTCCAGATTAAGCTAAAACAAGCTAATTGTTAGCTAAAAGCGGTTAAAGGTTAGATAAAAGCTAAAAGTAACAGAAGGAAAGCTAAGACTAACAAAACCTTAACTAAAAGGTTAAAGCAGCATGCTAAAATATGGGGAAAAAAAATAGTTCCAGATTAAGTTAAAACAAGCTAATTGTTAGCTAACAACAGCTAGAGGCTAGATAGAAGTTAAAAGTAACAAAAGGAAAGCTAAAGGTAGCTAAAAGCTAGGTGAAAGTATTTGTCCTAACATTATCAGAATTAGATCAAAACTAAATTTCAGAAAAATAAAAAAACAAAACAAACGCTGACTCGGGTCCAGACCGCAAACTTCACAGGACGTTCAGAGTCCGATCGAGACGCCTCAGCCTGTAAAACATTCCCTTCATTCTCGTGCGCAGGAGGCAGGAGCTGAGGGAGCTGCGCCTCCTGCAGAAGGAGGAACAGCGGGCGCAGCAGCAACTCAGCAACAAGCTGCAGCAGCAGAAGGAGCAGATCTACCGGCGCTTCGAGCAGGAGACCACGGTGAGTCCTCGCACCCAGCCCGACCTGCAGGAGCGAACCTCAGCTGGACCTCTGAGGTGTTTACAGATAAACAGTCGGCTGTTTCCTCCTGCTTACACAAAATAATAAGAACTTCCTGCTCCTCATCGTCAAAACCTCAAAGCTCAGTGTTTGTTCTGCACAGACTGTCGATAAATGTGTATTTAAGTCTGCGTGTTGTGTAGCTGAGCTGTGATGCGTTTGAAGAGCCGAGGAAAAGACTGCTAAAAGATTTTTACCCAATATCTGGTCAGATATCGCATAATGAACCACGTTTAATATATTTACTGTGAACAAAGTGATAAACATGAATAGGCCTGTCACGATAAACAATCAAGCATAAGTGAAAATTATCGACCTCATTTTCGTTTATCGACTTTATCGTTTCTTCATGTCTCTCTTTCTCCTGAAGACACTGGATGACAAAAGGCTCAACTCCGGTGCTCTTCACTGACTCCTCCCTTTTTTCTTTAAAATCTGTTTTAACGATCCAAAATCGCGTTTTTGGATCGCTAAAAGCAGCTAAGCTGAGAAGCTAAGCTACGAGCTAAGCTAACAGGCCGACCTCGCGGAAAAAACCTCCGTCTTATCGAAGCTCCAAAATTCACAGTTGAAACCCGTGTCTTCATGTAAAAGTTTTTCTCTGCAAAAAGAAACCGAGAACTTGTTTACTGATTTTTTTTTTTTTTTATTAAAAGCTTTGTGTGACAAATACTATGCTAAAGAGCTCAAACCACACCGAGCATCCACCATTTTGAGAACCGAAGAGAGACAACCCACGTCACGTCAAAGGGCCTCCCTCCCGTTTTTTTTTTTAAGAGACACGCTGCTCGCTCCCTCACTATCCATCATTCAGTTCAAACAGTCTTATACTGCCATCCGGTGGTCGAAAAAAAGTGCCACACACAAAACAAACGGACAAACATTTCTTCTTAAATTTGACAATAATTACTAATTATTGTCAAATTTCAAACAATACTATCGTTTATTGCAATAATTTCTGAGACAGTTTTGTCGCCCAGCAACGAGCCGAGAACCTTTAAGTTCAACTTTATTATAAAACATATTTACAATATATAGGGTGTGGATGAATAACTCTGTAAACTGTGGAGGACTGAATTGATGGAAACAAAGTTCTGATACCAAAAAGTTTTTACTTTGTTCAGTCAATTAAGATGGGATTATTTGATCATTCAATTAGAATGGGATTATTTGATCATTCAATTAGAATGGGATTAGAGATGATGGAAGCTCACGACTGAACCAAGCTGAAAGAAAGACGCTACACCGTTGAATGATCCTAAAGTTTTGTTACAGAGGAAACGAACCTCTGGACATCTGTGGATTGATGTTGCTGACAGAAGTTATGGATTAGGATTATATTGTCCTCAGGCGTCTGAAGGTCTCCTCGTTGATCGCAGCTGCTCTGTCTGTAAGCTGTCGGGTTTTCTGGGTGTCAGTTTGTCAGAACCTGACGTGCGCGTCTCTCCCTCAGGGTAAGAAGCGTCAGTACGACCAGGAGGTGGAGAACATGGAGCGGCAGCAGAAACAGACCATCGAGCGGCTGGAGCAGGAGCACACCAACCGGCTGCGAGACGAGGCCAAGCGCATCAAAGCCGAGCAGGACAAGGAGCTGTCCAAGTACCAGAACGTGCTGAAGAACCGCAAGAAAGAGGTCCGAACAGCTCCTCGTTGTTTTAGTATTTGTTCCTCTTTGACACAAACGCCTCTCAGATCTGCGGTGTCTGAACTGGACCGGGTCAGTCTGCGCTGCCACGTTAGTCCTGCAGGCAGTCCTGGTCTGCCCTCGGACCCGGGTTCACCTGCGGCGCCACAGACCTCTGAAACCAACCAGCGTTAGTAGCTGGAGTTAAGCTTCATTTGAAGGGAAACCAAAAATTAATCCGAAGCTCATTAAACCGGAAACAAAACGCTTCTTCTATCAAACAATAAAAAAAACATGAAAATAGACCGACACTCGTGTCACAAAGAAATCCTAAATTACAGATTATAATCTAATATGGTCCAACAACTGGCTTATAAAAGCAGCTAAAATTAGAGCTGTGTCAGTGGACAGAGCAGATATCTGAGCCTGATCAGAGGCTCATCCAGATGTTGGATCCAGGTGTTGGATCCAGTCAGTCTCAGCTCTGGTTTTTTATGACCTTCAGTTTATGACCTCCTCCACCTCCCTCGGTGTGTGACCTTTCCTTTCCAGCACCTTTTCTGGTATAAACACCTGCCAAGTCAGGACTGCTGGTCCTTTTGGGGCCCAAAGCCCGGTTCTGATACGGCAGAATGTCAGTTTGGGGTCAGGAGTTGGGTTTAGGGTTAGGCTACAGGAACATCATGAAGTTCATGGTTGTAATGATGCGAGTATGAGGTGCAGCAGTATAATGAAGTGTGATCCACAGGGAGGGGTCCAGGTTCTGGTTCAGTCCTCGTGCGCGCTCTGCAGCGCTCACCCTGTCGCCTGAAGTCTGGCCTCTCCGTTGTCCTAAAACACTCACGTGAAGTGTTCTGTCTGAACCCTGAAGTCCTCACCAGGACGTCTGTGTTTAGTTTCTTCACTCGTCGTGTTGGTCGACTGTGTAAACTGCTTGAAACCAAAGAACACATCTGGGACCAGATAAGACTTTATTTGGACCCGGATCTGGACTTGGGTCCTCCTGTTGAGGACCTCTGCTCTATAGTTTGACCAGTCTGTTGAAGGACTCTGGTGACTTATGAAGAGCGTCCACAGTGATCTTTATTTAGAGTTCAAACCCTTCATGTGCTCTGAAGCAGGTAAGTACAGTAATATTCTAATGAATGTGTTTGAGTTCTGACCAGCACTGATGAAGATGAGTGAGATGTGCACGTGATGGCGCTACTGTGGCATCAAATGTTCCTGAACCAAGTCCAGTTCTTAAACCTTTACCTGGAGCTTCCTGAACTTCTTCTGGTCTTTAGGTTCGTTGCTCAAAGCTTAAGAAGGTTCAGATGTTTGAGTGCCACCTCCAGGTCTGGACTCTGGTTCCCCATCAGGACTCAGACTCCCGTCCTGCCCATCATCAAAGTTTCAGCCGACCACAGAAACACACCTTCTGCCTTTAACGGACAAAAACTGACTAAAATAAACTCTGAAGAAGAAGAAAACAACAAACACAAGAACTGTTGTGATGAGCACGGAGTAGCGTTTTATTTTACTGAAATACATAATTTATGTTGTAAAACATTAATACTTCATATTGTTCCAAATAATTTAACCTCAAAATGCATAAAAATAATAAAATCCATAAAACATGCAGAGGATATTTGCTGTTTCAAACAACAGATGTTCGGTTCTGTTCTAAAAAATAAAAACTGCAAAACACTGACCCCAACTTCACCAGGTGTTAGCCTGGTCCATCCAGACCTGGTCCTGGTCTTAGTCTGACCCACGTTCTTCAGGCCTCAGAGGTCCGGTTCTGTTCATCCCTCTGACGTTTGGTCCATAACACCTTTCTCTGCTCCGCGTCGTCCAGGAACAAGAGTTCCTGCAGAAGCAGCAGCAGGATCTGGACTCTGCTCTGAAGAAGATCATCCAGCAGCACAAGCTGGAGCTGGCCACCATCGAGAGGGACTGTCTGAACCACAAGCAGCAGCTCCTGAGAGGTACGACCCCACACGGCCTCACACACTCCACTCTGATGAACACCTCATAGGAGGTCCCGCAGCTTGGTTCTGGACTGGTCCTGTTCGGACTTCCAACATGAGTGAATGAAATGGGTCCAGTCCACCTTGGTACCGGTCAGACCTGTCTGGTGCTTTTCTGCTGGACTCTGGTAGCTGAGGGTACATCTTCAGCTGGAGTCAACCTGATTTAAGATGGCTGCCACAGCTAGCTGACATTAGCCAGTGTCCACCTCAGTGAGTGTTGCAGATCCTCGGCTGCAGTTCGGTGTGGTAGTAGCTGAGGGTGGTCCTGACGTTACTCTGAAGGTTTGACCAAAATGATCCTAACTCATTTCTGAAGGTCTCTGACGTGAAGGTGCTGCTGATGACAGATGGAACCGGTTTTGGTCATTTTTCTTCCCGTTTTGAGCAATTTCAGCACAAAGACCTGGACTCAGATCAGCTGAAACCGGCTCTGAGACCCTCTGAGTTTCTGTTCTGTTCAGCTGCAGCCCGTTTGCAGTTTGGACCGGTGACATTTAATCCAGCTCCTAATACGTCAAAAGCTGAACAAACACGACTTCACAGAACAGCGGACTAAACCCGGTCATGAGAGGTTGTTGCTGAGCTTCGGCTGCTCCTAAACAGCTTTAGTTCTGAATGAAACAAGTGAAACGGCCTAACAGCCGAAGCCCGGCTGATGTCAGCTGACTCAAATCCAGTCACTTAGAGGAGAAATGTGTTTGCTGTTTCTGCCCACAGCTCGAGAGGCCGCCATGTGGGAGCTGGAGGAGCGCCACCTGCAGGAGAAACACCAGCTGTTCAAACAGCAGCTGAAGGACCAGTACTTCATGCAGAGGCATCAGCTGCTGAAGAGACACGAGAAGGTACGACTCGTACTACACTCATGAAACACCTTCAGCTATTCTACGCTCATTTAACACCTTCGGCTGTTTTACACTCATTTAACGCCTTTGGCTGTTTTAATATGTTCAGTTCTCATGGTTTACTCTGAATTTATATTTTCTGATTCATGTTTTGCTTCTTCGGCTGTTTTACACTCAGCTGTTTTAGCCTCAGCTGTTCTACACACGTTTAACACCTTCGGCTGTTCAGCACTCATTTAACACCTTCGGCTGATCTGCATGAAGATCTGCCTCTGGCCGGATTTCCTGCTGGAGACAGCCCGCCGGTCCGCCTCAACTTAACTTTGGTTGATAGACAGGATTACGTCCAATCACATTGAAGCTTGAGTTGTCTTGACCAATTACTAACAGGAAGGCGGGTCTTAGAAAAGCAAACGCGTGTCTATGCAGCTCTGCAGTCAAATCAATGGATGGAGTTCGTCACACCGGAATAAAATGTAGTTTTATTGGAGAAACGAGTGGCGCTCTGCCTTCTCCATAACAGGAGGTGACTTCGCCTCCTACTCAAGTGTCCGGCGCCTCCTACTCTGACTGACGGTGTGTCCCCCCTTTGGAGCGAATCGAAGCGCAGTCAAATGACTGAGTTCAGTCTCTAGATGGAAGACGGCGTCTCAGCGACTCCCTTTGAATTTGTGTCAGAACTACAGATTTTAAACTGTTTTTAAATCGCGTTGATGGTCGTCAACGTAAACTTAGAGTTATGATCAATAATCCACGCCACGTCTTTTTTCTGAAAAAAGTCAAATCTCAAGCGCGTTACAGCGAGAAGCTGCAGCTCCCCCACCCCCACCGCTGAACACACAAACCCCCCCCCCCCCCCCCCCCTTCTGACGGAGGCTCGAAGTTTTATTTGTCAAACACCAAATGATCTACAGGAAAAATAAGAAAAAGACGCGGAAGTTGAATGGAGTTCAGTGCACGATAAAGTCAGCGAGAGCGGGGGTGAGTCAGTGGCTGATGAAGAGGAGGATCATTAGAAGAGGAAGAGCGGACCGAGCCCAGGTGTGACTGCACAAAGGAGGGGATCCAGAACCAAGCATCAGTTCTGAGCTCTGGAGAACAGAGGAGGATGTGGATGTTGACCCAGAAGGCAGACGGAGGAAAATACACTTTTTAAAAAATTAAAGTAAAATAAATATTTTGTCAATAAAAAAATATTAATGTAGAGATTTTAAACAAAAACCCTACAAGCATTAAAATAACAATCTTTTAAATTAGATGTATTTATTTGAGGCTGACAGCTTAAATAAGAAGGTTGATTTTCCCTCCGAGGAACATGAATAAATAAAGTTAAAGGGTTATAACCGTTTAATTCAAATAAGTAATAATGTCTGTAGTTAGAGAAAACTGATTTTTGAGCTGCATGCATTCAGCCGGGAGCTGCAAGATAAAGAATAAAGATCAATTCATTGTGAGATCAATCTTTACATCACTGCATTGTATCTCTACAAAAGTGATTCACAGCTGCTGCTGATTATGATTTCATAATTCTTTTCATGCCTGTGATGCTGATAAGCAGCATGACATCAATTATGTGACGGGGACATGTCCCCCTCACATTTAAAAAATATTTGTTTGGACTCCCCACACACGTTTACCATGAAATATTAGTTCACCCAGTGCTGTTTGCATTTCTTTGTGCACAAATCATTCCACTTGATTAATAGAAGAATAGTCAAAGCTCTAAAAATTAACTATGGGTTTTCAACGTCTCTCCACACTGCATGCAGTTTTTCCCCAGGGTACTCGTCTTGGCAGGGGACACTCATCTCTCGGAGTTTTTGTGGACAGGGTGGGGGGAGGAGGGGGAGACACTTCTGTGTGGCGTGCTATCTTAGCGCTACGTTAGTGCCGGCAGTTGTCAACTGGGGTGGGAGTGTTAGGATGCTCAAGGTGAGCAGAGCGTGCTCTATTCACACAAGGAGAGCTGTTGGTCAGGCTACTTCTTGTTGCTCTCTAAAATAGTTATTGAATCAAGTTACTTATGTAGGTAAACATAGATGATTAACCTCTTAAAATACACCAGTATACAGGAAATGGCATCTACTTTATTCAAAATTTTCTGGGGGAGGACCCGCAGACCCCCCCTCACCAGTGTGTTTGCCCCCCGCCCCTTTCAAATACTTTTGACGCCAATGCCGGTAACACATTTTCATCAGTGTTTAAACAGTCTCTGTTCACTAAAACTTTTTCACTGCACTGAACATCTTTGTGTTGATGCTCCCGCTCCTTCTCTGAAAGTTATTTAGAACGCTGGGAGTCCTAAAACCAGCTCTGTGGAACTTCTTTTTAGATTGTGATATTGAGTATTCTAAATTTGTTGCAAATTAATTGACAGAAATGTGTCTGTTCAGTGTGGTGAGTCTGCAGGGAAGTACTCTGTGGTACATATTTTACGTTGTTTAAGTTCAAATGCATTGAAACCTCATTTAAGTCATTGTTGCTCGAAGCTGAATTGTTTGTTGTTAAAAGCAGTTGTCTGCACTTTTCAGAGAGCATTTTTAATAAACGTTGGCAATATGTCATGATTTTATTCTATCAACACCACAAAAAAAAGTTTCAGGCTCAGGATTTTTTTTGTTTTTTCACTTTAAGCCCTGCCTTTGGCTGTTCTACACACATCACCTACACCTTCAGCTGATCTGCACTCATTTAACACCTTCAGCTGATCTGCACTCATTTAACACCTTCAGCTGATTTGCACTTATTTAACGCTTTCAACTGTTCTACACTCCTTTAACGCCTTCGGCTGTTTTAATTGGTTCGGTTCTCGGTGATTTACTCTGAATTTATTTTTTATGGTTCATGTTTTGCTCCTTCGGCTGGATGAAACCGTTACGTCCTTATTATCCGGTTGCCATGGTAACACCAGCAGCTGAGGAGCCCATCTGTCTGGAAGGGACATAAAAGGGACAGCACGGACATTTTAAAGTGAGGTTCTGTAGAAAGCGTATAAACGGCTGATATCTTACCTGTTGGTAGATGTTGTCTTCGAGCGACCTTCTGACAGGATCGATGAGCTAACATCTAGTCTGAGCAGGACCCAGGTGGACCGCTGCTCTCAAAGCTCCTAAACTTTAATATAAATAATATATATATATGGTTTTCTGTGGTGTGCAGGAGATGGAGCAGATGCAGCGCTACAATCAGCGCCTCGTCGAGGAGATGAAGAACAAGCAGACCCAGGAGAGAGCCAGGCTCCCCAAGATCCAAAGGAGCGAGGCCAAGACCCGCATGGCCATGTTCAAGAAGAGCCTCCGCATCACAGCGGCCGCCATCACGCCCGAGCAGGAGAGGGAGCGGGTCAAACAGGTGAGAGCCCGCTGGCGGGCGGGGCTGGTGGGCGGGGCCCGGGGGACAGCCATGACGTTTGTGTTTGTGTCGTCAGTTTGCAGCTCAGGAGGAGAAGAGGCAGAAGAACGAGCGGCTCCACCAGCACCAGAAACACGAGAACCACATGAGAGACCTGCAGCTGCAGTGTGAAGCCAACGTCCGAGAGCTCCAACAGCTGCAGGTCCGTACGCCTCCGAGCCCGAGTCCTACCGAAGACGACCGAGCAGAATTAAACGTGTCTGCGTGTGTTTGTCTCAGAACGAGAAGTGCCACCTGCTGATCGAACACGAGACCCAGAAGCTGAAGGAGCTGGATGAGGAGCACAGCGTGGAGCTGAGGGAGTGGAGGGACAAACTACGACCCAGGAAGAAGGTACGGTCAGAGTTCTGATGAGAGCCTGGTTCTGATCGGTACTGTCCCACACAGCTTCACCTGTCTGAACTTACTGAAAACTTTATTGATTTGATCAAATCCCTTATCTGGAAGTCAGGACTTTGACTTTTATTGAAGTTAGATTTTAATTGTTTTGTTTATTCATTCAAGTTTTTCTATGAAATATTTACCTGACAGGTTGTGATGTTCAGAGACTAAAAAGCTTCAGCTGCCGTCGTATTAGAAGCTGTTTTCTCAGAAAACATCAGGAGTTTCATTTCCTGTAGTCAAAATCGAGGGGTTGTTTCCTCCAAAAGGAGGTGGAGCCTAAATGTTGTTCCCCCCTTAAAAAGGTGGAGCCTAAAGATTGTTTCCCCCAAAAGGGGGTGGGGCCTAAAAGTTGTTTCCTCCAAAAGAAGGTGGAGCCTAAATGTTGTTTCTCCCTTAAGGAGGTGGAGCCTAAAGATTGTTTCCTCCATAAGGAGGCGGAACTCAAAGGTTGTTTTCTCCCAAAAGGTTTGAAGCTTCTGGGCAGAGCTTAGAGGGTTAGCTCCAGGATTTGTTGCTCCACTCTGATGGTAAACATCTTGTTTGGTCGAGACTGAAATCACTGATTTACCGTTTCCTGACAGGAACCATCGAACAAACTCACCCAGCTCTGCCTCTGACTGGCTCCTTGTGCTTAACCTCTAACCAATGGTCGATCGACAGGCGTCCTACTCCACCTGATTATTAGTTCGAGCAACAAAAACACGTCTTTGTCGTCTTATCAAACTACTTCTAAACCAAACAGGGTACCAGAAAGATTTACCGGTTTTTGACACTTTTTAACACTGGTTTACCGTGAAACGGCTTATCGGGCCGAGCCTCGTCGCAGGTGATCAGAGGAATCTAAAGCACTCTGCTTCAAAACAAAGCAAGAAAGCTGAGCTGAGTGGAACCAGTGGAGCTTAAAGACCCGTTTGTTTTGACCCAGCTGGTGGTCCACGGCACCGGAGGAGAGTCCAGGAGTCCCAGCGACACCCTTTGGTTTGAAACTTGAAATGGGCGTTTGATTGCATAATCCTGTGAAACAAACAAAAACGGAGCAGAACTCCAGTCTGTGCTGAACAGAACCTGGTGATGGGTCGGGTTTGATGACCCCAAAGCCCCGATGAGGTTTCATGTTGTTTGTTTTTCCTGCAGGCGCTGGAGGACGAGTTCGCCAGGAAGCTGCAGGAACAGGAAGTGTTCTTCAAGATGAGCGGCGAGTCAGAGTGCCTTAACCCGACCAACCAGAGCCGCATCTCCAAGTTCTACCCCATCCCCAGCGTCCACTCCACCGGGTTCTAACCGGACCCAGTTTACACAGACTGAGACGGGTTCTGCTCGTCTATTTGAAGGATTTTCACCGCAGGGACGTCCAACCTGTGTGTGGATCAAGAGTCCGGTGCCTGGAGAACCAGACGGTTCTGGTTTCTGAGTCCGAGCAGCTGCTGATCTTTGTGTTCCGCTCAACGTTTCTCCTAAAGATGGAAGTTCTTCCTGCACTCCGACTCCGTTTGAAGTCAAAATCAGTCGTTCTCATTAGTGAACACGACACTTTTACCGCTGGAGCTGAACTGAAGCACTGACGGCCGCCATCTTGTAAAGAGCTACATGTGGAAGCTGCACATCTTTGTGTGCTGTTTGGTCCAAAAACACAGAAAAAAAAAACTTTATTTTACTGAAATAAACAGAAATCCTGCCTGATGAGAAAACAGGAGACAAACGTTCTGTAACGAGCCTCCCACCGACCCGGCACGGACCAGAACCAAACACAACACGTCAACAGGAGTGCTGCTGCACGACAGAAACGAAGAAATAATTTTATTAGTTTTTATTTTGACTTGTTTTCCAAGTTAAACTTTTTTTAATCTACAAAAATAACAAACAGCATTAAGGTCAAATAAAACTTCAGAACAGTTTTAGTCATTTTACTTTTTGTTAGAACATTTTGAAAATGAACAGATGACTAGACGTGCACAGGCAGACCTCAGCTGGACCTGCAACAAGAGAGTTTAGTGATCCAGAACCAGGTGAGCACCTCAGGTCTGTCCCACCCGATTCTGGACTAGAGAAGAACTGAACGCAGCTCTTCTGGGGTTTATGAAGGATTTTCTGACGGTCACATTTTTCCCAGAGAAACGAAAAAGCTGTTTTTTAAAGTGTCCTGATGCTGCTCAATAATCCAGGTAGAAAAATCTAACGAGGTGAAGAAGAATCTGTCCAGATGACCTGACTTAACCTTGTTAGATGTTCTTTAAAGTGTTGCCTTCATTAATCATAACAATTAATGTAGAAACACCGGACTCTTCAGCTGAGTTCTGGTTTTTAAGTGTGATATTTCAAGTCTGTGTCAGGACCTGGACACGTAGCTCTCTGCAAGATGGTGGCCCTCGTCTCGTCCGTCCCGGTGTTTCTTCAGTAAATCTTCATAAAATCACAGATGTTTCGGGTTAAACTTTAAATAATCTGTTCATGAAACAAATGCAGTTCTTTTTTTTTTTTTACCTTCAGCCTTGAACACAAGTGAAGGAAAGCATTTACTGTTCTTTTTATTAAATATCTGGCTGTACACATAAACTGTTTTTTAAGTGTTTTGTTACCAGAAAAGTTTAGTTAATAGACTTAATATTTCAGATTTAAACGTGTCTGTTCAAACTAACGATGAGCTCGTAGTTTTATGCTCGTCGGACCGTCCTGGCCTCTGATTGGTTCCTGTTCGTCTCCTCTGCTTCCTGATTGGCTGCTGTCAGTTTGTCGCACCTTTGATTTGAGAAAAATTAACTATTTAAACAAAAACTTCTCAAACACCAACTTTAATTTCTGTTGATTCAAAACAAAAATCATGAAGCATCTTTTGAAGTACATGTATAGTTTGTAGGAGTTTTCATGTTTATGATTTTTGTTGGGATGCAAATAAACAAATTCTCAGAAAAAATATTTTTCTGTCATTTTTACTTAAACGGAAAACGCCCAAAAGTTTACGACGTCTTGTCAGTTCAGTCCCAGAAAATAAAACCTCTCCACTTTGAAACCACTCAGTACAAAATCAGGTAAAAAAACATCTTTAAAGTACAAAAACACGAGTTTAGAATGAAACATCTGTACAGGATGAGGTCAAAGGTCAGACGCCGGCGTTCCTCCTCCTCTTCGCCGTCAGCGAGGATTCTCCTGAAACGTCAAAGTTCAGACGAGTCTCAGTTAAACTTCTGCTGCAAACTCACTCGGAGTAATCCGAGTAATTAATCTCAAGTTAATTAATTAATGTCGAGAGTTTTGGGATGGTGGTATTTTCAGTTAAAACTTCAGAAACGAGAACGTAGCTGTGGGTTTTATCGGATTCCTCCACGGAGCAGAACATCGTGGAGCTAAACTGAACCAGAACTGACCTCTGTCACCTTTGGGTCCCGTGTGCCCCTGAGCTCCAGGAGGGCCTCGTTCCCCTGCGGTCAAAAGGGAACATGTTTTAATAAAAAAAGTTTCTGACGTTTAAGAAAACACGCGTGACAAAACGTCTTGATTCATGCTCAATAATCCAGATGAATCTAACGAGGTTGAGTCGGGTCCTGACAGGACTGAGATTGTAGAAAAATGACCTTTTGCTCCTTTCGGTCCTGGTCTCCCAGGCGGTCCCACGACAGCTCCATGTTCTGTGGAACAAAAATGTTCAACACAAACAACTTTATGTACACAACAAATTCAGTTTATTTATAAAGCACCAAGTCGCAACAGAAGTCGTTTCACTGAACAGAAACATTCATATCTAAAAATAATAATTTAACATTATTTATGTGAGGAGCAGCTTTGAGTTGAACTCCATCACAGAACTCTCATCAGTGTATGAATGTGATAAAGCTCTGATTAGTCTCTTTGGAATGATTTGTTCAATTAGCTTTGTAGAGATGTAGTAGTGTGCTGTATGAATGGGTAAAGATAAGGACAGATTGTTGTTTTGATTAGATAGAAAGGTGCAATATAAGTACAGTCCATTTACCATTTACCATCTAGACGTGACAAATGCATGGACCAGTTTTTCTGCATCATTTTAGATAAGATGTTTCTAATTTTAGTGATATTACTCAGGTGGAAGAAGACGGTTCTAGTAATGTTTTTAATGTGGTGGATAAAAGACATGTCCTGATCAACAATAACACCAAGATTTTTAACATTAGAGCTAGAGGACAGATTAATGTAATCCAAGGAGGGAGAAAGGCTGAAAAATTCATTCCTAAGGTGCTCAGGTACAAAAAACAAAACCTCAGTCTTGCCTGTGTTCAAAAGCAGAAAATTTAGGGTCATCCAGGTTTTTATGTCTTTAAGACATGCTTGTAGTCTAAATAACTGATTGGATTCATTGGGTTTCATTGACAAATATAATTGTGTATCATCAGCATAACAATGTAAATTTATTCCATGCTGTTTAATAGCATTACCTAATGGGAGCATATACGAGGTAAAAAGTATTGGTCCAAGCACTGAACCTTGAGGAACTCAAGGACTAACTTTGGTGTATGATGAAAAGTAAATGTTTACATTTACAAATGGAAATCTATCAGATAGATATGATTTAAACCAATTTAGAGCCGTTCCTGTAATTCCAATGTCATATTCAAGTCTCTGTAATGGAATATTATGATCAGCTGAATCAAATGCAGCACTGAGGTTTAACAGGACCAGTGGAGACACCTGTCCATTGTCAGAGACCATGAGAATATAATTAGTGACGTCTACCAGTGCTGTTTCTGTGCTAAGATGAGCTCTAAACCCTGAGTCAGATTATTTCTTTGTAGCTGATCACACAATTGACCTGCAACTATTTTCTCTAGAATGTTTTAGATGAAAGTTAGATTAGATATAGGTCTATAGTTGGATAAGATTCGAGTCAAAGTTATGTTTCTTAAGAACAGGTTTAATTACAGCAACCTTAAAACGCTGTAACTATTTGCATATAGCTGTAGCTAAAACCAACACTTTGATCTTTGAAGCTTTAAGCTAGTGCCCTGCTATTTTTAGCTCATTTTTTTCCTTTTCACTATTATTATTATTTTTTTTACTTTAACTACTGTTTTCCAACTCATTTAGTGAATGTTTTGTTACTTTTACCGGGAGCTATAATCTAGCATTTTAACATTTTAAGCTTTTAGCTAGTGTTTTGCTACTTTTAGTTAGTGATTTTTATTACTTTAAACTAGTGTTTTCCAATATTAACCTTTTTGCTAGTGTTTTGCTACTTTTAGCTAGTGTTTGTTGTTTTTTTTTACTTTAAACTACTGTTTTACAACGTTAAACTTTTAGCTAGTGTTTTTCAACTTTTAGCAACAGGCTAATGTTTTGCTAGCTTCTTCTTTCAGCTGGTGTTTTGCTACATTTAGCTTTCGGCTCAGTCTCAGTGAAGTCCTTCAGAACTCGGCGCTCATGCTGCGTTTTTGTTTGTCCTGTGTGGAGGGAAACTTTACTTTTGATGTAGTCCATCAGGTCAACGACATCTGTGCGGGAACCAAACAGTCGGCTCTCTCCTGGAGGACCTGCAGGTCCAGGTGGCCCTGGGGGTCCTTGAACCAAATGCTGGTTCTGGTTCTGTTCGACGTCGTGTTTGAGAGCTGCAACAAAAACAGATAAACTGTCGAGCATAATTTCTCTCTGATGTTTTACTCGAGGATTTGTCGGTGCCGTTTCTCACTTTGGATCAATTCCAACAGATCTGTGGTGTTCTCACGAGAACTGGTCAATCCTGAGGGAACTCTGGGCCCTGGTGGTCCTGGAGGTCCTTGGAAGATCTGGCTGTTGTAGTCCTTGACAATGTCCTCCAGAAGACCGTGAGCTGCAGATCAGAGGATACATTTAGCCTCAGGTTGGTTAATCTGAAGTTTATGACTTTATCTGGATTAAAGAGTGAATTTATTCTAAATTATTTAAGTATTTTATTAAAACTTCTTTTTTCCGTTACGTAACAAACACAAGGATGTGGGAAGTACGGGTGCAGGAGGTGCTGAAGCACCCCCTGGTGGACCGCAGAGGGTTTAAATGTTTACGACTAAATAAAAACGTCAAAATGATTTGATATTTTGTCATAACGAGGGGTTAATGTGGATGGTTAAAACAAAACAAGCTTGTGTCATGTGACCTGTTGGTGCTCGGACTCTGTGCTGGCAGGACCCTCAGCTACTACCACGCCTAGTTTTAGCTCAGTATCTGTAAAATTGACGGCGTTGGAGCCATTTGTGTTTTAGCGTTTATTATCTGCGAACTGAATCGAACCAGGTGTAGATGAACGTTCAGCGATTGCTTCCTGAGAATTTTAATAAAATTTGTCCAGAGGTTCATGAAATATTTTACTAACAGTGAGCGATAAAAATAAAAAAAAGCATTATGTAAGATTAACTTGAATTATCACCCACCTTTGATGTAATCAGTGACTTTTCCAGCCATGATGGAGTAGTCGGAGGCGTCAGGGCTCCACTTCCTGCCACCAGGAATACCTGGCTCTCCCTTGTGTCCTGGGGGTCCTGGAGGGCCTGGTAGACCCGGAAGTCCGAACATGGCTCTGCTCAGATCATCATCAGCTGCAATAAATAAATAAATTATAAAATTAAAATAAAACTGGTTGGAGCTTTCAGTCCACCTGGAAAGTTTTAAACCAGGGGTGTCCAATCCTGGTCCTAATGGGCCACATGGGGTGTCCAATCCTGGTCCTTATGGGCCACCTGGGGTGTCCAATCCTGGTCCTTATGGGTCCACCATCCTGCAGGTTTTGTTGTTTCCTGCTCCAACACACCTGATGCTTGATGCCTCAGTTTTGTCCTCAGGTTCTAAACATGGAGGACATGGACCCTCAAGAACCAAGACTGGACGCCCCTGGTTCAAACCAACGTGCAGCAGAACGTCTTGAGGAACGTTCCACACCATCAGGTCTTCATCACCTCAGAGCCTGAAGAGCTGCAGGACTAAATTTAAAAACTGAAACTCACCCCGGACGTATTCCTGCCGTTCGGCCCTCAGCTTCTCTCCGGTGGCGTGGTCCGTAAATGAGACCATTTGTCCAAAGGGACCAGGGGGGCCCTCTGGTCCAGGGGGCCCTGGGGGTCCTGGAGGACCTTTAAAGGAAACACCTACAGGGAAGCAGCAGAAAAGAAGAATAAAGCTCCCACAGGAAACAAAGACTGAACAGGTACGGCTTGTTAAGTTCCAGTTATGGTCGCACCAGTGGTTAGACGTTCTCATCGTCAGAGTTTGAGTCCTGATGAAGGAACAAGAGGGACAATGTCCTGCAGAGATGTTCTGCTGCTGTCTCTGTGAGATGGGACACAACCTTGGGGAGAGCTTCTGCTGAGGTCTGACACAGGTTGGTGAAGGAAGGGGAGGGAGTCTCTCGTGTTGGGCCGGGGATGCATCTAATACGATCTCAAGACCTTTTCCCACAGCTCCTCTTCAGCACGACCCGACTCAGTTCGGTACGCTTACGAGCCGTTTTCCACTGTCACTTTTCGTGGAACCGACAACCTTTTTGGTCCCTTCTTCTCAGTGGTACCAAGCGAGCCGAGCCGGCACCAAAACCTACTTATTAAAATCCCACCATTGCTCCCAAACGAAGCCCATTTCATTCATAATATTGAGAATGAAGCCAGTAGTTCACAGCTTATTTGTGTGAAATTACTGAAAACAATAAAACAACAACGATCTGCACACCAAGGAAGGTGAGTTAGTTTAGGCCAAAGTTGTTTTGACTCATGTTGGGGAAGTTCCAATTACGCACATGGAAGATGGACCAGAACAGGTCAAATCCATCAGGTGTCCCAGTTTAGGGAAAAAGAAGAGGAGAAGTGATCAGAAGAAAAGTTTATGCAGCTGTGTCATCTCTTATAGGCTTATAATAATAATAATGTTATGTATCGTCATCACTGTATGTTTCCATACAATTGCTGCATTTAACCCCTCCACCACCAGGTGGTGCAGTGGGCAGCTATTGAGGGCACCCAGGGAGCATTTGGGGGTGGGGTGTGCTGCTCAGAGACACCACCAGATGTGCAGTGACTGGGGATCGAACCTCAACTCGGCCTCCGTTAATAACGTAAGACGCTAACTGTCGTTTACGTTTAGCTGCTTAGGACATGTTTGATTTTCTGCAGAAAATATTAAGTTTTAAAGATTGGAACTCTTATAAAGCTCGACTACTACATGGGAAAGTAATATTAGGTTAGTGTAATTACTAAAAACAACGATCCTGTCATGTAGCTTGGACTGTGTTAAACAGCCATTAACAGGAAGACGTTGATTTGTCTTCTATTCTGAATACTTCACAAGTTGGACATTTATTTATGTTAGCTTCTGTCTTAGCTGTTAGCTGTTAGCTGTTAGCTACGTCATTATCAACCATTCACCTGCTGAGCACATTTCATATTATTGATGACTTTGCATCAAGGAAGGTAAGAAGAGTCCTTCTTTATGTGGCAGTTGTGCAGTTTAATCTGTTTCTTGTTTAAAGAGTAATAATCACTTGTTTAAAAAGAAGGGTACGACTTGACATGACAGTTGTGTAATTTAATTTGTGTTTCTTGAAGAGTAATAGTGTAAATATTCAGAAAAGTTCCTTGACGGTTGTGCAGATAATTTTGTGTCTCGATCAAAGTTCAGTTGTACAGATGTTCTTAAATGTTCTTCTGTTGGTGCAGTTTGGAAATGACTTGTTTTAACTGTGTTTATTTTATACAGTATTTATTTTTTTGTATTTGTACTGTGCACCTTTAAATTCATGGTATACAGTATTTTTGTGTTTTACTCTGTGTTTATAGTTTTATTCTAGTTTCTTCAATTTCAAGTTTTGGAATAAAATATTCAAAGAACTGTGGGTGTCTGTGATGGTCCATGATGATCTGAATGATGTCATAGCAGAGTATGACGGTGGTGTGGGAGGGAGTTGGGTGATGAGGCTCAGGGGAGGGGGGCACCATAGGGGTTGTTCTCCCAGGGCACCAAACAGGCTAGGACCGCCCCTGACTTAGAATCTGCTGCTGAAGGAGGGTCTGGATTCACCTGACTTGTCTCATCATACTCACTTTGCAGGTAGTCTCGAATATCTGAGCTGACGTAGCTCCCAAATCCCGGTGGTCCAGGTGGACCTTGTGGTCCAGGAATACCGGGTGCACCAGGGGGTCCCGGAGGGCCGACAAGAGACTGAAATCCAGCTAGATGAAGAACAGTGAAAACCATCTGTCATCCAGGGAACAGGAAGTGGTTTAAAGTGGATCGGTACAACTCGGGGGTCCAACAGACCTGGGTCTGAGTGGGTTTGGGTTGTTTGATGTGTTTCTTACTTGCTAACAAGTTTCCAGGAGGCCCAGGCGGTCCAGGAGGTCCAGGAGAACCCAACACTCCCCTCTCTGGTGACAGATATGAACCCAATCAGACAGAACTGAAGACCTTTTGGGTGCAGATGTCACAAATACACCCAGCAGTAAAACTCACCGCTCATGAGGCTGAAGACGCGTTCGGCGAGATCCTGGGTGTTAAAGGGGTAGCCACCAAAACCTGGACCTCCAGGAGGTCCTGGTGGACCAGGAGGACCTGCAATGTAGGCCCTCACATCTTCTCCTGGACACAGAGACGGTCGAGAGGTTAGAAACTGCTGCAGACACAGGCTGGGGTGTCACGAACCAGAGGTCGAACAAAATCCATCTCACCCGAGTCGAAACTTTAGTATTGGTTATTGATCAACATTTATTGTGTGAACGTTTATGAATCACTCTGTCATCCGTTTTTCTTCCAGACGTTTTACAGCACGTTTCTCATCCTGCAGTTTTCAAGTTATTTCAACAAATCATAATCAAAAGGTTCAGCTCTTTCAGGACAATCCTACTATGACCGTTGGTATTGGTGCAACTTTAGCTTTTTGAAATATTTAGCCTTTTCTGCCATTTTTTTTTTCTCTTAGAAAATGAATCGAGCTCATTTTACATCCTTCAAATCTTCAGATCTGTTTTCAACCTTTTATTGATCCTTTCATGTTTTGTTCTGGTTCAGCTTTTTTCAGCTCCCTTGTGCAAATTTAAAAAAATTTCAGCTACTTTCAGCTACTTTCAGCTGTTTTTTGCTCCTTTCAGATTATTTCTGCTAACTAAAACATTTTTGTGCTTCTTCTAACTTCTTTCTGCTAATTTCAGCCTGTTATACTTCTTTCAACTTATTCATGCAAGTTTAAGCTTTTTCAGCTACTATTTAATGTTTTATGCTAATTTTAGCTTTTTCAGCTAATTCCACATTTTTTTGTGTTCATTTTAACATTTTCAGCCTAATTCAGCAAAAATCTACTCTTTCCAATTCCTTCTGATAATTTAAGCTTCATTCTGCTTTTTTAGCTACTTTTCAGCATTTCTTTGCTAATTTCAGCTTTTTTCAGATAATTTCTACTTTTTGTGTTCGTTTCTGCTACTTTTTGCCTAATTGGGCAAACATGTTCTTTCTGCTTTCTTCTGTTGATTTAAGCTTGTTCTACCTTTTTAGATTTTTTTTAGCTAATTTCAGCTGTTTTCAGATAAATTCAAGTTTTTTGTGGTAATTTTCGCTATTTTCAGCCTAAATAACTTATTTCTATTAATTTCAGCTTGTTATGCTCCTTTCAGCTTTTTCTGCTATTTTAGCTACTATTTTGCTGTTTTATGCAAATGTTAGCTTTGTCTGATAATTCCACATTTTTAGCTCATTTCAGCTCTTTCCACTTCCTTCTCATAGGTTAAGCTTCTCTCTGCCTTTTCAGATACATTTTAGATGTTTTCTTGTGCTAATTTTAGCTTGTTTTAGCTGATTTCCTCATTTTTGTGCTAATTTTTACTTATTAAAACCTAATTCAGCAAATATGCGTTCTTCCTGTTTTCTTCTGTTAATTTAGGCTTGTTCTTTCATTTCAGCATGTTTTTTTTAGCTAATTTCAGCTGTTTTTCTGCAATAAGCATTCACACTGCATTTTTGCAGGAAATGTAATTTCTCTAGTTGTTTCTGAATATGAAGCCTTTAGTATAAAAACTGAAGATTTGTCTTCCTTCAAATGAGACTCACGCTGCAAGAGACTGATGATGTCGTTAACAGAGGCAGATCCAGGTGGACCAGGTGGACCAGGAGGACCAGGGGCTCCTGGACCTGAACCTAAAAGAACAAAAAGTTGCAGTTTTCAAACAAACAGATCTCCTGTGTAACAGAAGCTAAAACAAAACAATAGAACGGGTCCAACTCTGAATGTAGGCGATGACTCGGCTGGCAACATCATCCACAAGCCCGTCTTCAGAAGGACCGGAGGAGCCTGGTTCCCCTGGAGGTCCTGGAGGCCCAGGAGGTCCAGCCAGGTACTGTCTGATGCCGTCACCTGAGATTCAAAACAGATCGCCAGTTTTAGTTTTTTGTTTAATCTTTGTTTCAGAATTAATAAACTCTGAAGGAAGACCCACTCTGAAGGTAGTCTGCTATGTACTGGCCCACATTGACCGGTTCAGTTCCAGGTGGTCCAGGTGGACCAGGAGGGCCTGGTGGGCCAGGTGTATATGAGCTACCTGAAACATAAATGGTCTTATAGAAACTGTCCTTCATGGAAGAGTTGAGAAATTATTCAAACAAGCAGCAAAAACACAGACTGGGTGGAAAAGTGCTTCAAGCTGCAGTTCCTGAAACAACCACGAGGTGTCGCCACACCAAAGATCTCAAAGATGCTGTTATTTAGATTTAGTGTTTTTTAATTATCCCCATTTTGTTGTATTCTAAAACAGAAAGGTCTCTGAATATCACTAACACCAAACGTCTCTGGGTTTAAATATAATTTTCTTGTAGGAATACGGACGGTCCTTCTCGGCTCCGTGAAGACGAAGGTGAAGAAGACTTCTCATTTGATTGTTTCCGTCTTCGCACATCCAGATGTTTTAGAGTTTCTGAGCAGCTCGACATGTAAACGCAAGTTTCTCTTCAAGTCAAATTTAATTTCTCGCAGCGTTCTGCAACAACCTCGTTAATATGAATGACATCCAAAAATGTTGTTTTACCAGGATCAGATTCCAGGACTCCAGGATCGCCTGGATCACCTGGAAGACAAACATGACAAAAGTATGAAACAAACTTATTTTTCCTGGATTTTTAAAACTCACAATGTAAAATATCCAATGTGTTTTAAAATCAGGGTTTGAAACAAAACATCATGTTGGGGAAGAATTACCTTTAGGTCCTTGTGGGCCTTCTGGACCTGGAGGTCCTGGAAAACCTGATGATGAAAACCATTGATCAAAAATCAAAACCTAAATATATTTTATTATTCTAGACTGTTTTCTTACCGACACCTGGTTCTCCTGGACTTCCTGGAAGACCAGGTTGTCCTGCGTCACCTGAAAATTCAAACTCGTTACATAAAGTTACAGGACGTAAAACGCTGACGTTTTTATTTTATGAACACATTTTCTCACCTTGGAAGCCTTGTGGACCTTCATCACCTAAAAAATAATTAAAATCTTTGAGAACCACGAACTACTGAATCCAGTTAACCGCTATGCGTGCTACTAATGTAGGTTTAGTAAATTCTGCAACACAAACTATTGAACCTACCTGGTGGACCCTGTGGGCCTGGAGGTCCTGGAGGTCCTGGTGGTCCAGCAAAGAAGGTCTCTGATAGAAAACATGAATCAAAAGTTCAACAACAGAAGAAGTTAAACATGATGTGCGACCTGTTAATAAAATAATGTTAAGCTGAAATTAACCTGATGTGGGCACAAAGCTGCCAGGTTCTCCTTTCTTTCCTGGAGGTCCAGGATCACCAACACCTGCACGGGAACAATATTTAAAAAATAATTGATAAAAGACAAAAAAATAAATCCTGCCTGTGCCTCAGTCACTCTATATGCTGACGATACGTTCATTTATATCAGTCTTTGAAGCAGGATTATTTGGTTACCTGGCTCTCCAGGAGGTCCTCGGCGGCCTGGAGGACCTTGTTTACCCTCACCTAAATAACAACAACAACATTAGTTCACTTTAAGGCCCTGTGGTTAAAAAACGTCCCTTTGATTTCTCTATATACATACCAGGAGGACCCTGAGGACCAGGCTGTCCTGGAGGACCTGGAGGTCCAGCACCTGAAACAAGTTTCATTATTTATGAAACAAATTGAATTTATCATAAAATTATATGAATGATGCTGCAGATAGATGTCAACAAACATTCGGTTTTAAGAGCTAACTGGTACCGGTTCTGCTGAGAGTTTCTGAACAGATGTTGTTACCTGGGTCTCCACGTTGGCCTTGCTCCCCTTTGTCTCCTTTATCTCCAGACTCTCCTTTTGGACCTAAATATTTAAACCCAAAAATGAGTTCAGTCGAAAAAAAATTGTTTTTGTTGTTTTTAATTTCAGGTACTCAACATGGATCAAGACTTACCTGGCTGTCCAGGAACACCAGAAGGACCGATGGGACCAGATAAACCAGGAAGTCCTGCAGGACCTGGAGGCCCGGCAGGTCCTGGAGGTCCAGGGATGGCCACGGTGTCAGAACTAACTATGAACAGGAGGAGAAGGTACAATTTACACAAGTCCCAGTGGTTCTGAAGATCAAGCTAGAACCAGAAGTGTTCTTACTTGGACCAATGACTTTACCGGGAGATCCTGGTTCACCTGGAAAATGAACATTTGACAAAATAAATTTAAAAACATCAAAGTTCATGCTCAATAATCCAGGTTAAAAAAAAATCCAACCAAGTTCAGTCAGGTCATCTGGACGGTTTCTTTTTTGTTGAGACGGTTCGTCCTTCATCCAAAGGACTTCATCAGTCCGAGGAGCCACAACAAACTCAGTCCCACAAGCAGCACACTCCCATAGTGGACCAACCAGTTTGCTGGTGTTAAGATGGTTTCTGGAGCCTGCCCTCTCCCCCGTCGACTCGTTGCATTTTCTACCTGGATTACTGAGCATGAACTTTGATGTTTTGAACCACTTTGACTGTGGCTGCCTCAGAGGAGTTGACAGGGGAGAGGGTGGTCTCTAGAAACCGTATCACCAGCAAACTGGTTGGTCCACTACGTGAGTGTGCTGCTTGTGGGACTGAGTTTGTTTGTGGCTCCTTGGACTGATGAAGTCCTTAGGATGAAGGACGAAGCGCCTCAACAAAAAATAAACCGTCCAGTTGACCGGACTGAACTTTGTTGGATTATTTTAAAAACATTTACAGAAACTACATTTGCAGTTTGAGTTCACTGGAGAACAAAATACCTTTGCTGCCGGGATGTCCTGGATTTCCTGCAACACCTGAACCAGTTCAACAAAAACACGTTGAAAATCAAACTCTGAACTTTAGGAAGAAAAATATAATTTTGTGATCTTTTCACACCTGGAGGTCCTTGCAGCCCTTGAGAACCTGGAGAATAGTTTGATTGGAAAATTAGGAATTTATGTTTTATTTCAGTGAAGTAGGTTTAAAACATAAAATGATTCTGATAGAACTGGAGACAGGGTATGTACCTGGAGGACCCACATCTCCAGGAAGTCCTGGTGGTCCTCTCACACCAGGGGGTCCAGAAGAACCTGCTTCACCTTCAGTTCACACACACAGATTATCAAGTGGCTCAAATGTTCTGCAGAACTTTCCCAGTAAATCTTTCCATGTCTTTACTCACCTGCGCTTCCTTTAGATCCATTTGGTCCTGATGGACCTTGTGGTCCAGGTGTTCCAGGTTCACCTTGGGAACAATACAATATACATTTAGTACCCATTCTATGAAAGATGGCAATTGCTTATGTGTGTCTTTCTGTTAGCAAAATATCTCATAAGCTCATGGACAAATGTTGTTAAAACTACTGAATGTTAGCAAGAACTGGGTTCAGTTCCTCTAGATCAGTTCCCTTGGTGGGGCGCGCGGGGGGGGTAAGATGGGACAAAGTCACCTCTATGTTGCCCGCCTGCTAGCTTAGCACTACGTTGCTGCTGGTTTTTATTGACGATGGGAGGGGGTGTCATCTGGTTTTAGTGTGTTTAGTGCGACGTTGCTGCCGGTAATTGTCAACGGGGGGAGGAACAGTATGCCAGTAGCATTTTTGCTAGCATGTTTGTATTGCACATGCTGCTATTGTTCAGTGTATTATTGTTTTGTACTACTAGTGCTTAGTGTATTCTTAGTTAAGCGAAACGTTCTTAGTTCATATCTTAGATCTTATTTTTGTTTTTCTTTTACAATTTATACTTTTTTTGGAAGTAACTGGGACCTTGTGTACGTTGTGTACATGTGTTCGTTCCACCACATGTACCACATGCGATGCGAATGACGATAAAGAAACCTTGAGCTTGTATTGCACCCTGCACTACATCAATACCTACAGTTGTTGACGGGGGGAGGGGGCAGTAGGTGGAGCGCTTGGTTATGTTGACGGGATGGGGCGTCCCACTTGTATAATGGTAGAGGAAACACTGGGGTTCCATAAGTTGAGGATCCCTCTATAAGAGGTGAAGGTATCTGACAAGAATCTGATCTTGAGACATTTTCAAAACTGGAAAACAACAAACTGAACATTTAGCTAACACATGGGCTCCTCCTTGGATGGCCACCTTATCGTGGTGGAGAAGTTTGTGCGCCTGAATGATCCTAGGAGCTATGCTGTCGGCTGGTAGGGTCTCCCAAGGCAGATTGGTCCTAGGTGACAGGCCAGACAAAGAGCGATTCAGAAGATTTTTATGGACAAAACAAAACAAGGAACTCAGTGTCCCTTGCCCGGATGTGGGTTACTGGGGGCCCACCCTGGAGCCAGGCCTGGGGGATGGGCTCGTCGGCCAGTGCCTGGTGACCAGGTCTCTGCCCATGGGGCCCGGTCGGGCTCAGCCTCAAGGAGCAGCATGGGTTTGCCTTCCTGTGGACCCACCACCTGCAGGAAGGGCCATAAAAGTTGGGTGCATGATGCTATGGGCAGTGGCCGAAGGCGGGGTCCTTGGTGCTCTGTGGAAAGAGATGTTTGAGCCTCCCTGCTCAAGATACTGCCCCCGCGACCCGAATTCGGAATAAGCGGAAGAAAATGGATGGATGGATGGATGGATGGATGGATGGATGGATGGATGGATGGATGGATGGATGGATGGATGGATGGATGGATGGATGGATGGATGGATGGATGGATGAGTTTTAGGGGTCTAAGTGTGAGATGTACCTGCTGGTCCACGTGGTCCTCTTTCTCCTTGATCTCCTTTAGTTCCTGGTACCCCTGGAGTTCCTCGGTCTCCTGCATTAAAGACCATCAGAGGAACTTTATAGGGTTGTAATTTGATTTAAAGGTTCACTTGAAAAAGAGTTACAGTACCTTTTGGTCCGGATGGTCCAGCTTCACCTTGGAAACCTTTTGGACCAGGAGCGCCTGGACACAGCAATTCAACAGAAAAATTATGTGTCAGTCAACCAACCAACCAATCAACCAACCAACCAATCAACCAACAAATCAACCAACCAATTATCAACCAATCAACCAACCAATCAACCAATTAACAACCAACCAACCAACCATTGAACAACCTATCAACCAACCCACTAACCAATCAACCAACCAACCAGCCAAACAGTCAACCCACCAACTAACCAACCAACCAATCAACCAACCCACCAATCAATTCATAAACTAAAACCTGTACAGTCTGAGTCTTTACCTGAGTTTCCTGGAGCTCCGTGCTCTCCTGCAGCACCTAAAACAAACGCACAAGTTTTCATTGAAACCAACAAATCTCAGGTTTGACCCACATAGTTTGATCTGGTCTAGGTTTGAGTTGAGATTCTGAACCTGACCTTTCAGACCCACTGCTCCAGGAGTACCGGCAGGACCAGGACGTCCTGTCTCACCCTGAGATCCTGTAAAACCATAAAATCAATGCATTTTTCAAGTTTCTTTTTCAAGCTCTCAGGGCCAAATGTGTAAATATTCAACCTTTTTCTCCTTTCTCTCCCAAACCAGGAAGTCCAGTATCTCCACGAGGACCCATTGGTCCCTCCCGGCCCCTTTGACCTGGTAGTCCTTCTGGACCTGGTTCACCTGAGCAGAAAACAGGAGAAAGTCATCTCTTTTTTCTTCTTCCTGGTTTATCTAGTCAATAAAATGATTTAACTTCTTATTACCTGGATTCCCCTTTGGTCCCCTCGGCCCATCCAGTCCAGAGTGTCCAATCTGCCCAGGAGGACCTTCAGAGAAAAGACGTTTAAGACAAGACACCCTTCTGGAAAGGGAAATAACTATTTGCTCCGTGTCTCACCTGGCAGTCCAGGGAAGCCATTATCACCTGAAAAAAGACAATTTTAGCAGCTGGTTCTAATTTGAAGTGAAATACTTAAAACCTGGTTCTGGTTCTAGACAGCGTCCCCTCACCTTTTTGTCCTAGAGATCCTGGGTCACCTTCATAAAGACAGTTAGGGTTATGATGATTTGAGTAAAACATAAAACTCTGAGTGAACCGATGGAGAGTGAACTGGTACCTTTTGGTCCTGGTAGTCCTCTCTCTCCTTTCAGAGAATAAACCAGAGTTTCTGCAACAACAAATTCTCTTTAAAGCTCAGAACCCTTTGGTTCTGGATGAAACCATCTGATCAGTGCACCGTACCTCTGACAGAACCGGACTGGAGTTCAGCCCTGACCAGCTGCTGAACCTTTCTCTGGAGGACGGCGCTGTCCTGATCCGGCCCGCTCCCTGCACCTCCCAGGTTGATGGTGTTATCAGAGCGAGTGACGGTGGAGCCGGAGGAGCTCCTGTCCACGAACTCCGAGTCCAACGGGTCGATGATGTTGATGCCGGAGGAGGCCGACAGGCGGCTGGACCTGGCGTTTGTGGTCCCGGTGACGGCCTCCAGGGCCTCGACCCGGTTCTTCAGGCGCTTCAGCTCCTCACCTGCAGAAGGAAGACGGATCGTCAGCTTCCTGAAGACGATCGACGCGTTTCAGGAATAAAAATCAGCCGTCCGACCCAAAACGATGAGTCCGAAGAGGAGGCCGAAGAGGAGCAGCAGGGTGAGCAGGAGCGCCAGGAGCCACTTCCACCAGCTGCAGCAGGAGCAGAACCCCAAACCCGACTCGTCCTTACGGATCTCTGAGGAGCGTTCAGGAGCTTCTTTTAAACACTGAGCTGACGAGTTCATCTGAGTAGACTCAAAACCTAAACAGGCGGTCTCACCTGCGTACGTGGCTTTGTCTTTAGTCCCAACTTTCAGGCTCGAAGCTGTCCAACAAAAAATAAATTAATCAGATTTTCACACGACAGAACTCTGAAAGATGAGAGGAATGGTTGAAAAGGCAGATTACATTTTACATCGGTTCCTTCCTCCGATGATAAAAGTTTCTGTTTTTCTCTCTTCAGCGAGTCCTCGGAGTAAGGTCCTGAAAGACACCATCAAACGTCAACAGCAGCTCGTCTTTCAGCCTTCTAACCTGAAAACGGCGCGAGGACACACTGACCGATGATGGTTGACACCGTTCTGCATTTGACCTTTTTATACTTTGTTTGTTTTATTTCTGTTTTCTGGTTTGTTTCAGGTGTTTTTTATGTTGCTCATTTAATCCACCCAATTTTTTGTACGGTAGTTCTTCGGGGTCGAGGGAAGTCTTTGCCTCAGTGAAGGAGTTCAGGTGTCTGGGTGGGAGATCCACAGATCAGGGCCTCCTCAGTAATGAGGGTGTTGCTTCAGTCGGTCGTGGTGAAGAAGGAGCTGAGCAGAAAGGCAAAGCTCTAGATTTACTGGTCTGTCTACGTTATAACCTTCACCTGTGCTCATGAGGTTTGGATCAGGACTGAAAGAACCAGATGCTGGATCCAAGCAGCCTTCATAAGGTGGTTGGGCTCAGCCTTAGAGATGGGGTGAGGAGCTCCGTCATCCGGGGGGAGTTCTGCATCGAAAAGTGGTTCGTCTGATTAGGATGCCTCCTGGACGTCTCCCATTTGGAAGTTTTCCAAGGAGGAGAGACCCTGGGGGAGACCCAGAACTCTCTGGAGGGATTATGTCTCATTTCTAGTCTATGAACACCTTGGGGTCTCTAAGAGGAGCTGGAGAGTGCCTCTGGAGAGAGGGAGGTCTGGGGTTCTTTCTTGGACCTGGTGCCTTCACGACCGGACCATGGATATGCAGTGGAAATAGGTGATGAAGTTCTTGGTCAGTAACGGTGCTTTGACATGGTTTTAAAAATATTCACCAATAATTTACACTTTTCTGTCACAAGTTTAGGTTCACTACTCAGTCACAGCTTCAGACAAACAGAAAATATCTCAAAATGCGTCTCAGAGAGGAATAGTGAACTCTTTTTGACAAAAATATGTGCAAAAACTTCTAAAAATGTCCCCACAGACAACAATGGAATCTAGTTGAAATGAGTGGTAAGACCATCGAGATGTTTTAAAACTAAAGAGAAGACCAGAACCTGGAAACTGAAGCCACCATGAACAAGCACCCTCTAGTGGATGGCTCCAGTACTGTTTGTAAGCCTCGCCCCTTTCATATAAAAAGAATGGGACATTTTTCCTGAGTAAATTTTTTAAGAGTTTAATTTTGTTGATTCATGTATCTCTTACACTGCTGCTCTGTCTAAAGATTAATTTGTTAAATACTGAGGCATAAAAAAACATGTCATTACACTGTGATTGACAGTCTGTGAGCAAGCTGAGAGGATGGGTGGGCGGGGCTATCAAGGGTACCGCCCCATTTTCTGAGTGGGCAGACTCTGGTTCCAAAAATTGACATTTTGGTGTCAATTTTGAACAAAAGCAGCGACAGAGACATTGTGACGAGAACTTTCACAATTTTCTGAAAATGAAACATAAATTCTTCCTGGACCTTGTCATCTTCAGCATTTGGACCGTTGCTGAACAGAACCTGTCACAGTGTTTATCGATACCTGAGGAAGGTGCAGCAGACACAAACTGTTTCCCGGAGTCTTTAGCCATGGCGAGCCGCTCCGTCTCCTTCTTGATCGGAGCGTTTTCCTTCTCTATCAAAACAAAGTTGAAGTCTTTTCCTGAGGCCTCGTAGTTTGCGGGGCTGCTGGGTCTCACTGCGGCAAATGAGATAAATTTAAAAACCAAAATATGTCGTCATTACAGAAACAGGTATGACACATATCATTAGACAGCGCCTAATTTTTTTACATTATCTGTCCAGACTTAAAAAAAATGTGCTGAACTGGTCTGGATCAACAGTTCTCCAGGATTTCTGAGGATCTTTCAGTTTTCTTGGGAGGATCTCCGACTAGTAAGAACAACAGACTTTTTTGATGAACATTTACTCCGGCTATAAAAACAAGACTGTAAAAATACTGTAGGCTGTTCAGCTTTTATTTTTTTTTCTCTAACATTAATGACACGCTAATATCACAATTTTATTTAGGCTGCAAAGCACACTGGGTAAATGACAGACTGGTTGCTCCGTTGTGAGCCCGCATCCAGCTTGAAGGTTAATTTTGGACATTTTCTAACGTTCAGCCCTTTAATTTGAACCGGAGCGTTTTACAGAGAGAATGGAGAAATGATCCAGATTTCACGTTAGCTCCAGAGTTAATAGGCCTATATATAACGTTAGCTCTGGAGCTAACATTATATATAGGCCTATTAGCCCTGGAGCTAATAGTGTTAGCTCCAGAGCTAATAGGCTAA